CAACCTCGAAACGGGGGGATAACAAGCATAATAGTATAAAATCTAATATAAATTATGTTTCTACTCTTGAAGGTTAAGTCCTTACATAATTTATTATTCTAAACAATTATATATTATTATTCCTGAAGAGCTCATTATTATTGTTATTTTGGAATTAAATACGATTAGGACATTTGAATATTTGACAAGAATATTGTATAATTGTTTGAATCAATTAATACAAATCAATATTTTTGAAAAATATTGTGTTGCTCCAAAAGTACATTTTTATATTTATTAATATTCTTAAAGAAAATTATACGATTATTTTTTAAGAATCATATTTTAGACAATTAATATAAAAATTGTATCGATTCTGGATAATTGAAATTTTAATTAATTGCTTTTAAAGAAGCAATAGTTTATTTATATTACCATTCTTGAAAAATATTATTTTGAGACTCTAGAACAATCAATGTTGTGTGATACGAAGGAATAAACTTATTATTTTTAGTAATTTATTCTCCACTTAATAAAAAAAGAAACAAATAAAGTTTGTAATAGTGTTTTATAATTTGTACACTAAATTAACTTTTAGTGGCCATATTGGAAAAAAAATATTGCTTTGAGCCAAAAGTTCAATAACTCTTATAGTTTATTGTTTGGCATGTTTAGTTAGATTATCACTTGATTAATAATGATGCGAAATTGAGAATTCGAATATTCAATGAAGAACCTGAAGATTTTTCAATCAAATGAACTCCTATATAATATTTTTTTATCGACAATTGATCATTAGACATCACTAGCTAAAGAATGATTGAATTCTCTATATTTCTGAAAATTAATTAGGGTGATAAATGGACATCGTCACTCTCCATGTTAACTATCTAGATATTATTTGTTTCTAATAGATTTGATACATCTACTAGATAATTGCATGGTGTTAGCAACCTAACGTTTGCGAAATTACTGTTCGAAGTTTAAATTATGAGCACAATTTTCATATTATACAATAAAGACGGTGTCTTATTAATGCTAGTGATCCTAAATCTCAACATTTAGATAGGTGCAATTTTTATTTTATATTTACAAGTTCATGCATTACATAAATAATTATGCCTAGACTCGGAGGACTCTTGTTACGCCTCGCCACCGAAGCTCAAGTCAAAGTGCCACATAACAAACCACGTGGGTAGAAAAGTTAACAAAGACCCAATGGTCAAAGATAAATCATATGAATGGTGAAGCTCTTACACAAGCACTACATAAAGAAATGGAAGAAACCGAAACTCTTCACACAGATGACCAACACTAAGATTCCTCCGAGGCCCTTAATTCACTCGAAGTTTATGAAGTTGAAGTTGTCTCTTACAAGATACTTAGACAATCTTTAGAAATGATTGATGTAATGTTTGTAATAAAGAATGTCAGGTGTGTCGCCCATTATATAGGGTGGCTGGCCCATTGTCAATATATTTATTGTATGACAGACAGTGATGTAAAGCCTCAGTCGAAGAGATGAGGCCACGTGGTTCTGATCCAACGGAAACCACGTCGGCTGAAGTACTATAAATAGGCCTTCCTTGTAATGGAAAAGGGTTGGATTTTTGGACTTTAGATTCTTGAACCCTTGATCCTTGATAATACAAATGATATTGCAAATTCTATACATATCATCATGCTTTTTCCATATACATTAGTTTGATCTTTTTATTGGTTTTGGTATTCGATTGGTGATAGTTGCTAGCGCAATCATCTTTGTTCCACCCATCGGTGTTTGAACACTTTTGTCTCACGTTGTAAAGTATCTTCCGCGTTCACGTTCATCCAGCTTCTTACCGATACTCCGATCAAAAGCACCGGTATTTGCTTGAGTTGGCATGAGTGAGCTTGATTTATGTTGTCCACGTAAGCATCACGTTTTTCGGGGTCAACGATATTGATAAATGGTTTAACATTATTACTTGTTAAATGAGTCCAATTAATTAAATTGAGAACAAAGTACTTTCCATTTCTTTTTAGGAAAAGTCATTACGCATTATGCCAACATCATAATTGGATTATGATCAAAATCAAATTTTTCCATCAAACTATTTTGATAGAGCACATGCAAAATTAATAACACAATTTGGAAATTAATCCACCATAAAAAAAAAAGCGCAGTTTGAACCCTTATCTCAAATGGATGATATTTAATAACACAATTTGGAAATTATCAATTTTGATTGAACAATTCTCTCAACATTAGAGAAATGTAATAAAAAACTGAAAACAATGTAAAAATGCAATCATCGCAAGGACAATTCGAACCAGAAGTTCGATGGATAATTCATTTAGACGTATTTGTTGACCAAAGAGATTAATAATGTCACACACTAGCTTTAAATTCTCCAACTCGAATTGACTCTTGGAAGGAAAATTCGTTAATATTATATTTAATAAATTTATGACACGCCTGAATCTTGATTATATTCAATTTCAATACAAAATCTCTAAATCAAAACGGAGCAATAAGCAAATATGGTTCCATTAATGAGGTATATACTCTTTACGAGTATTTAGACATAACGAATTATAAAATCTCAAAAGAGGTACATATACTTGATATGTTGAAGGTTGAGATATCTCAATCAGTTATGTCATTATGAGAAAAGAAATAGAATCGAAAAAGAAAAGAAAAAAAGTTGTTGACAACACTTTTACACATGATATATTTAACCATATAGCGAGGAATCGAAATAAATGCGTTGAAATATATCAATCGAAGTAATAATTGGCCAAAAAAATGACGCAATTCTAAATTGAAATTACTAGAGAAACCCAAAACCCGAAATCCTAAGAATCTAAAGATGAATACTTATGCGAAATGGAAACGAGAAAAGTAAAGTTGTAATATGAAATGTACGACTCTTACATAATGAATTTTGTGAAGACTTATATAAATAGATACATATAATAATCACAAGTCTCTATTTTATTAGCGTAACATGCATGAAATTTGATATGTATGTAATAAATGTGATTATAGATAATTTATCTTGTATGGTTTCTATATTATCCTTGAAAGATTTAGTATGCCTGATGTATAATTTAAGTAATATTATTATGAGGGGGAGTAAATACATATTGTACTCTTTTTTCCTTGACCAATGTTTTGTTCCATTAGGGTTTTCCTGCATAATTTTTAATGAGACACTTTTGTGGCATATTTAAAAGAATAAATGTATTCTTTTTCCTTCATTAGAATTTTTTCCGCGGGGTTTTCCTTAATAAGATTTTAACGAATCATATTCTTTGTGTAATAAATATCTATAACATACAAGAGTTTTACTCTCAAAATAATGCTTTCATATATATGAGACTCACGAAGAGATTAATAAGAGTTATTTTTTGAATCATCGTGTTACTATAGTCATCAAGTTTTGTCCCATTAGATTTTTTCGAAGACATTGACGTATAATATATTAATATTGAAGACATTGACATACAAGATAATGACGAATTAATACAAGATTTGAAATCAAAGGGAGCAACTTTACTCTTTTTCCTTCAATCAATTTTTATCCCATTGGGTCTTCTTGGCAAGGTTTTAACGAGACAAATATTTTGTAATGTGTCATTTAACGAGACAAATATTTTGTAATGTGTCATTTAAGATGAAGTTGTAAATGTTAAATTTATCAGTGAATGACAATTGTTTGCAACCTTCGAAATTATTATCATTATATCTATAACCCTTCCCTATAAATATGGAGTTTTGTTTCTCAATAAAATACGTACAAGTCTAGTTATTTCTCTAGTTTCTTCTATTTTTTTCTCTAGTTTATAACAAAAATATGTTATTACTACTTTATATTACATTAATTACTACTCCATCCGTCCCATTTATATAAATTGATTTTCCTTTTTTTCTTGTACCAATTATATAGTGTTGTTTCTTTAGTGTGAGTGTTTTGTTTTATTCGTTTACTAAATACATTTACTTAATTTGCCTAGTTATAACCAATTTTTCCCAATTTACTACTAGTTGTTGATAATTAAATAAGGGTAAATCAGAAATTTTTTGGCAAAAAAAGATTTTTCAATAACATTAAATAATTTTTTTTAATCCGTGTAAAAAACAAAATCAACCTATAAACAACAACAATTTTACGTTTCAAGTTGAATATAAAGGTTAAAGCCAATAGTTTGAAAATATCAAATACCAATAGCCTCGAACTCGAAGAGAGCATGGCAATAGGCACTAAACTCCCTGAAGTCGCATCATGAGCTCCAAGTCTAGGAGTGGTTCAATCACAAGTACTACAACCGGACGAGAGAGAGAGAAATGTTAGTCTCAATAGTCTGTGACTAAAGTCACTTCGCTCCCGAAGTGGGCACTCACCTGGGTACATAGTCTAATAACTCTCCCAATGCTGCTTGTGGTCGCAGATCTCAAATCTGATTAGGATCAAAGAAGTAGCTAAAGATAAGCACAAAGCTTCCCATGACCATGAATAAGGCATCTTCAGAAGTTGAAGAAAATCTATTGCAAGAAGCAACACTAGAACGGTCTCATCACAGGCTCAGGTCCTAGCATCAGTCCTTCAGGCTGACCATTTCTCTTCTGAAGCCAAGCAATTTCCTGATCCTCCAAAGTCACAGAGCTTCCGTCCCAAGTTTCTCAAATACTATATCTCTTGAACTTCCAATAGCCATCAATGTCCTACTAACTTCGTAGTTGACACGGTGATGGAGATCTCAAGTTATCGCTGTATGAGACGCATACTGTGTCTACGTCTTCTTCCAAGAAAGCTATCAAGCTTTTGCAGTGATCC